CTAAAATGAATTCACTGGAGCATACTTATGTTCATGTTTCTAAAAGCTGATCTATTTTTGATGGAAGCACATTTTGGATTAGGTTTGGCTAGCTGAGGACTGTTAAATCACAACATACACAAACAAAAAAGCAAGTTCAGTGAACAAGAAACACAAAACAGTATAAATAAAACTACTGCTGTGCGAGTTGAGTTGTTTTTCTCCCAGAGGAGCAACAGATCTCCAAAACATCCAAAATTATCTGGAACTTGCTCTAACATTCGTGCTAGAGAAAAAGGATTTCTATTATAAATTATATGCTCCACTCAATGAATGTATGGTGCTATAGCCAGCAAAGCTGTTAATAAAGCATCTGAAATAGAAAGTTTATGCTGCTGAAAGGCTTTACAACTTTAAAAGTTAGCAATAGATTTAGAAACCAGTCTTTCTTTGGAAGGGAAAGAATCAAATATTGTCTTACAGAAAAGCTACAGATTATTTGTATAAGTTAAAGGACAAGGTTAAAATGTTAGACAAATATTAATTCCTGTTTTCTATATGCAGTGCACAGGTGCAACTTGAACAGCATATTATATGGTATAATCATTAAATTCATTCAACCAGACCTTAGAGAGTTAAAAACATATATTCTGAGGAACAGGACTCCTCGGTCCAAAGAATGAGAATGAAACAGCGCAGAATATTTGTGTATCAAGGTGATTCCAGTTTCCAACTGGGAAAACAGGACTGTTAACACCCACATCCCCTGACAACTGTCCAATTATGTATATCACACTTGGCCTACTGTTTGCAGTAGAAGTAATCAATAAAGGATGTGGTTGAGTGAACATAGATTTTGGTTGAATCAATGCATGAAAACTTAATCATTTACTCAGAGAGAAGAAATCAAATAGAGCAGAGATGAAACAGCCACTAAGGGGTTTGTTGATTGTGCCACCAAGTTTGTGGGCCACAGATGAAAGTAATAAGGCAAATGGAATCAGTGACAGGAGAAAATGTAAAAAGCTATTCTTAATTTCATGAATTAATAGAAATGTTTTGATGTATTTTGGGGGGGTCGTTTTTAGGAAATTTCGCATCAATCCTGGATGTTCCATTTTAAAGAATATATGAAAATTACTAGGGCATGTCATTTCTCTCAAGCAAGAAGAAATTAATTTTCAGCTATAACAGAAAGGTAATTTTCACAGTGGAAACTTTGTCCTGATTGATTTCAAGATCTCCACTGTGGAAAGTTTTCTAGGAAATAATTTAACCCGAGTTTGTAAGAAAATTTACAGTTGGTAAGGAACAAACCCACAGATGGGTTAGTTCTGACCAGTCTGTCTTCAACAACTCTCATTTTTGTGATTTTTTTCCCCCTAGATTCTTTTTAAAAGTCATCCTGTTTATTTGGAGAGTTGTAGCATTTCAGTAAATGAGCCCAAAAATGCCATGAAGAATATTGAGGATTTTTCCCCCTCTATATTTACTCAAATTGTTTATCTATGCAATAACAATATTTACTTGGTAGTTTCTCAACTCACTCTCTGTTTTATGGACCATAATTCTGGTTTTTATAGCTGTGTCACAGGCAATTGTTATCATTTTAGAATATCAACTCTTTTTTTTCTCCCACTAGTATTCCAAGTGTGGGGGTGGGGAAGATACAGTAAATGCTTATTTTCTGTTATGCTACTTAAACCCTTGTGCAATCAGTATTATTAAGACCAATAGCAAAAAATACCCCAGCTCACTATTAAAATCTTCATCAAAAACCCTAATACCAGGACTGGGTCTACAATTACCAAGTGGGCAACTGTATTACCAAGTCCTGAGTCTTGAGCAAATGTGGTATGTTTTTCAATTGAAGGCTTAGTATAAATTCTTATAACCATTTTAGAAGCCTCCAGCCTTACAGCTTATTCACCTTTCATGAATGCTCAGCTGATGGCCTTAGACACACACTTAGCCTAGACACGGCTATCCTCTTCCATTTTCTTTAAAGAGATAAAATATGTTTATAGAGATAGGGCTCCCATTAGTGAAACTTGTGGGATTGCACAGGGTAGGAGACAGAGATTTAGAGGTAAAGCTAAGCTTCATTCGCAGCCTGATTTATTTCTCAGTCACCACCACCATAATTTCCTCTGTTTTGGCTGTGTTCCACTGTTTGCATGTCACTGCTTATCCGAGCAGTTAAGGACTATGAAATGGATATACATGTTTGTGTGTGTGTGTGTGTGTGTGCACGTGTGCATCAAAGAACACTAAGCCCTTGAAGCAAAATTTTCTAAAAATGACCACAAAATGTGTATCAAAGCACTTCTAGTGATTAGTGGACTCAATTTAATAAGGCTTCTCAGATACCCAAGGTGCTGTTGTCTACCTGTATAGAATTTTTGTTTTTAAAGCATCTGTCTGTCTCTAAAGGTCTTTTGCACAAATGGTGAAAGACTATGCCGAGGTTTACACTGCCCTGAGTGCTCCTCCATAACCACCAACAGTGCTGCAAAACGGCAGATTTGGAGTGGAAAGTTTGCGGTGGCCTCAGGACACTATTTCCTAATGACCTCAGAGTAAGCACTTCCTGTACTCTTGTGCATTACATAACATTATACAATTAAGAACCTATATCTACTGCACAAATCACTGATGGCTGCATTGGTATTTTAGCAGATGGGAATTCTTATAAGTGGAATTCACTTTCATTTGGTGTACAAGTGAGATGGGGGTATGTTTTCTTGCCCATTGTATGTCTGCGCCAAGGCAGGCTGCTAGAGTGTCGAGAGTGCTGGGCTGTAACCACCCCCATTCCTACCCGAAACATACCCTACTTCATGATGCATCAAATACAGCTGGATCCTTTTCCACACCCCAACCCCAAATAGTACTTAAGCAGCCAAATGAGCACATTTTAATTGTTGTTGTTACCAATATTTATCAGATAATTGTTCAGCCCTCCCCTTAGCTTTTAGTGTACAGATCAAGAACTCAAATCCTGGAGTGGAGACCAACATATTCCAGATGAGACACCAGTTTAACAGGTGAGAATATCTGAAGATAAACTCAGGTCTCCAGAAGTTTCAAAAATGATTATAAAGACTATCAATAACCCAAAATAGTTATAAAGACTATCAGTATATCAATTTCTAAAATAGTTATAAAGACTGTCAGTCCAACGCTTGTCCTGTGACACAGTAAGTGCTTAATATATGTTTATGAAAGAAAATATTTTTCTTTGAGGTTTTATGTCTTTAGTTATGTTGGGACACAATGTCATTTTGTAGAAATTATTTTATAAACATGTTAAGGGATGCACTTATTTCATTGTACAGGTTTAGGCCAGGTCTGCTACTACAAAGCAAGACCAATAACCCAACCATTTTCTACTGATTCTAGGAAGGGTTAACAGCAGACTCAAGTAATTTAATAATCAAAATGAGCCGGACGAAAAGGCACAAAGTGGGTATGTACAAACAGACATTAAATTGAATCCTTACATGTCTCTTTTTTGTCTTCAAATATGTTTCTTTCTGGTAGTTATTTGAAAAGTAAAAGTTTAAGGGATAGCTGGATTGATTGTCCATGGACTGGTTATCAATTTTTATTTGAAAGGACCACAACACTCATGGGTTGCTTGCTTTCCCATGGCTCGCCCTGCCTTCCTTGAGTAAATGTCCATACTCTCCTTATAAGTCTGTCTGTCCCTAACCATTCATCCAGCGAGGAATGCACTGCATTTTTTTTTTGTAGGGCACCTTTCATTTCATTGGTGTTGGTATTTTAATATTTAATTAGTTATTTATATAATATTGAATGATGATTATATTGGTAATGGTAATTATGCATTGATGATCCACTTTCAATGCACGAGGCATTTAAAATCTTTTGAATAGCAATTTTACCTTTTAAAACATCACCTTGTTTTTTTAATTTTCTTCCTTTTTTTTTTGGAAGTATAGTCAGTTTATAATGTTGTGTCAATTTCTGGTGCACAGCATAGTGTTTCAGTCATACATATACAAACATATATTCTTTTTCATATTCCTTTTCATTATAGGTTACTACAAGATGTTGAATATTGTTCCCTGTGCAACAGTATAAACTTGTTCATCTATTTTATATGTAGTAGTTAGTATATGCAAATCTCGAACTCCTAATTTATCCCTTCTCACCCTGTTGCCCCCATGGTAACCATAAGTTTGTCTTTTCTAGGTCTGTGAGTCTGTTTCTGTAAAACACCACCTTGTATGTGTTTACCACTGAAACACAAATGGGAAGAAATTAGAATTTGACACAATCTATACCTAATTATTATTACTACTACTAAAATTTTTTTTAAAGCTGTATCTTGGATATAACGTACCAAAAACCAAGGCCTTAACTTTAATAGCTTTTCTCATTCTGTCTTGCTTAAATATAATGCAGTGATTAAATGGAGTACACAATGACCACAATACAATGAGCGAGGGGCACATAATATATTTTCCATGGAAAAATTTCTATCAAAAGTTGTTCATGTATACTTTTGTTAAATCTTCTGTTTTAAAGGAAATTTTTTTTTTGCATCCACTGCTTATCCAGATATGCTTAAAGGAGAGATGTCTTAATGGAAGAAGCATGATTGAAGCATAAGATGGAAACTTTCTTCAAGGAAGAGATCTGGAAAGGTTACAGTGAGCCACAGTTACTGAAGCGTATGATACACCTCTGTGCTGTCGGCTCTTCAAACCTGTGAGATGTGACCTGATTTTTCCCTCGCATTCAAGGTCACCGCTAAACTTACCAAAAATCAAAAATAAAATAATACGAAAGAGGGATAGACAAAGAAGGGTTTAGGAGCTTATTTAAAAAGACTGCATTAGTTTAAAATAACTGATGATGAAAGGGTCACTTAAGAAGGGCACTGCTTAAAATTTAAGCAGGCGGTAATGGAAAGCGACAGACCTCAAACAATTTAAGTCTTTCACAGTTGAGTGAATTCCCAGTGACAGCAAGACAAGGATGTGCTAACTTACCTCTGCAGGACCTTGGCCGTGGCTTCATAGCCTCTCCCCAGGCTGAGATCATCATCCAGGTCTGTAGAGATTTTAATGTAAGTGTTAAGGACCTACGGGGAAGAAGAATATGGATGAAACCTATACATGACCAGATTCACAGATGTTCCATTTCATAACAGAAAAAATTAAAATTAATAGTTGTTTTTAACGTTCCCATAAAATTTTTTTGTTTATTAAAAATTCATGTTGGTTTGGTTTATTTTTATCTATAGTCTAACTTGTTTCATAGCAATCTCTTTGAGCCATGACAGTGAAGTCTCCCTCTTGTAAAAATAATTCTTTTCCTGCACAATCCAAAATCTTCCAATTGATATAGCTTAGGTGTGAATAAATAATTGAAGGTTTACAACATTATCTTAAAATATGGGACTATTATCTTAGGTAATATAAGGCAGATTATAGTAGCCCACTATGGTAGCTTAAATATCACTTTTCTTTCTATAAATAGCTGTTTGAAAAGCATGAATTTCAGTGCCAGGCAATTTCTAAATCTATCATTTTATTAGACACATATCTCACAGTTGGTACATGTATTCAGTATACACTAAGAATATTTCTTACAAATGTACTTCATTACCAACAATCTCTTCAATAATCAAAAGATTACAGCTGCCACAGCCAAACGTATGATCTTAATTTAGCACTGCCATCATCTGCATGGGATAATTTTCCTTTTTATTCTTTTTCCCTTTCAAGGACCAGAAGAAGGAAAATATGTAAAATAAAATGCCCTTCCTCCTTCCTCCTCCTTCATTGTTACTTGACCCAACCTATTACACACATGAAGACACAGGAAATCTCCAAAGACCTCTATGGAAATCCTTTTTGCACATTTTCTAAGGAAGAATTAGTGAAAGGCATTTGACAGCATTGGAAAGAGTCAGCGTGAGGGAGACATCCATATGTGATGGGGGCCTGAACTGGGCATCTTAGAAAGTTTGCATATTAGAGGCAGTGTTGATATTCATCTTTACTTTCTTGAAGTTAATATTTGGGAAATAAATTCAATGAGGCCACTGTGATACCTCATAATTCGTTGATGTGTCTGTGGGGTTTATAAGTGACGGCTTGACATAATACTGATATCAAAACTTAACTGATACATATTGACCCAGTGTTTCAATTCCCAATTAAATCTGCAAAGTTCAAATTTTTGACTCTTATTTTTAAGCCTCTTACTAAGCCCTGTATAAACCTGAGAATATTCTTTTTTTCACTCTGTCGTGCATAACTGACAACATCTAGATTAAGTCTGATATGACTTGACATAGAGCTTTCTGAGTTAAGGGGCAGAACCCTTGAGTTTTGTGAATATAAATTCAGAGACTAAATATGAGACCTTATTAAATCCAAATATCAAAATATTGAAGAAGTACCTTTCTAGTGTCTTTTTTTGGTTCGTATGTATTTTATATGACATTCTAGAAATTCAAAGATTAAATCTTAACTTTTTAAAGTAACAAATGTACTTTTAAAGATTGAGTATTACATTTTGTGTCAAAAATAGTTCATTTATTCAGCAAATGCTGTTACTGTATGCCAGAGCTGTGTTAGACCCTAGGAAATCTTAAAAGAGAAGAGAGCATGCTTATAGCCTTCAAGGCATTTACAGGCTAGCAGTACAGAGGTTTGTACGGATGCAGTGGTGTGAATTAGCAATGACTAAAGATAGTTTCTCCAGGGCTTAAACTCTGCTTATCCTGCATCAGTCTCCCACCCACTGGCCATGGTGGACCCAGAAGCAGTACACAACATTCTGCAGCACCCAAAATTATCTTAAGGGTAGGACTCTTTGGCCCACGATTAGGAGAGCAGGTGCCTGAGAAATCACAGATAAGTACTTCAGAGTTGATGCATCCTATTCTGCACACATGGGCAGCGCTTCCAGGACCCAACACATCTGGTGCAGGAAACCTCCCCGAGTGGCTAAAGGAAACCTCTCTCTGAGAGCTGTTGTGAGATTTCTGTGAGATTATCAGAGTGGTATTAAACCTGGGACAAGAATTCTCTGGGACTCTGTAAACCAGCCATTAGCGGACAGCTTCTGGAGAGTTCTCTCAGAGTAAAGACAACACATTTTATTTGTGGCTTGAGGGAGTTCCTCTCTCAGCTTAAATACTTTACCTAAAAAGAATATAGTTCATTACTGGCCCAATAAGGAAATAATCAATTATGGTGGACCCCCCCTTAGCCATAGGGGCTACGTGTCCCGACCCCCAGTGGATACCTGAAATCTTAGACAGTACTGAATCTTTTATAAACCATGTTTTCTTCTGTACATATATACCTATGATAAAGTTTAATTTATAAGTTAGGTACAGTAAGAGGTTAACAACCATAACTGATAATAACATAGAACAATTATGACAATATACTGTAATAAAAGTTATGTAAATGTGGTCTCTCTCTCAAAACATCTTACAAATTTAATGTGTTTTGCATCTTAACTATGTACTTATCACACACTGTGGCTGTAACTTTTGCAGTTTGAGATGTGACAGCAAAATTAGCAGGAGATTCTTTTTCCTTCTTCACATTTTCACAGATAGAAGATTCGTTCTTACTGCAGATCTTGGCAACTTCAGCATACAATTTTTTTCTTTCCTTATTGAATTAAGAACTTCTATCTTTTAAAGGAAGCACTTTAGGCTTCTCTTTAGTATATCTGAATTGCCAGCAACACTCATTTTGCACTTCGGGCCATTATTAAATAAAATAATGGTACCCTGAACACAAGCCCATGAGACCGAAACAATAACCCAGTAACTTAGATAGTTACTAAGTGACTAATGGCCAGGATATGCCGGGCAAGGGGATGGTTCACATCTCGGATGGAGGGGATGGAACGGAAGGAAGACACAAGATTTTGTCACACTACTCAGAATGCTGTGCAATTTAAAACTTATGAATTATTTAGATCTGGAAATTTCCATTTTATATTTTCTGACCTCGGTTGACTGTGGGTAACTGAAACTTCAGGAAGCTAAACCATGAGTAAGAAGGGCCTACTGTTCATGAAACCCACCCTGAGGACCATGAAAGTGCTGTAGAGGAGCCCGCCTAGATCAAAGACAGGGCCTTTGCTCCTCAGGAATGTGAGCGCTGGTGGGGGAGTCAACTCAGGTGAAATCGTAAGGAGAATACAAGGCAAAACTCAGTAGATTGGTAATTGTATAGTTCAAACTAAGAGGACAGAAAGGACATTGTTAAACAGGAAAAAAATAAAAGTGGAAAAATAATATGAGATTACTAATCGTGTAGAAAATAACTGTTGGTCAGAATGTAAATTTGTGCAATCACTATGGAAAACAGCACAAAGTTTCCTTAAAAAACTAAAAATAGAGCTGCCATATAATCCAGCAATCCCACTCCTGGACATTTATCTGGATAAAACGCTAATTCAAAAACATACTTGCATCACAATATTCACAGAAGCACTATTTACAATAGTCAGGATATGGAAGCAACCTGAGTCCATCAACAGATGAGTCGATAAATATGTGGTGTATATACAATGGAATATTACTCACCTGTAAAAAAGAATGAAACATTGCCATCTGCCGCAACATTTTGAAGTAAGTCAGACAGAGAAAGTGATATGATATCACTAATATATGGTATCTAAAAATTAACACAAATGAATCTATATACAAAACAGAAACAGACTCAGAGGCATAGAAAACAAACTGAGGGTCATCAAAAGGGAAGAAGTGGGGGATGGATAAATTTGGGGTATTATATATAAAATAGATAAGCAACAAATATTTACTGTATAACACAAGGAGCAATATTCAATATCTTGCAATAACCTATAATGGAAAATAATCTGAAAAAAAATATGTAACTGAATTATTTTGCTGTATACCTAAAACTAATACAATATTCTATACTTCAATTTTAAAAAGCATGAATATTAAATATCTCTAAAAAACCCTAAATTCTGTAGAAAATTAAGATGTTTTATATTGATCTTATGGTAAGTTACTTTACCTGCTTTTTAATTAAGGTATAATTTATAAATTATTAAATAGTGATCAACTTGAATCATTAGATAAATAGTGGAATCCTCTTTACAAAGAATACTTTAAGTGGGAAAATACAGTGTGGAAATCTGAGGAATCCATACTACGTGACTAAATATCCCTGTGGCATGCAATATGTCAGAAACAAATCCAAGGTCTGGAAGGTTAAATTCTATTATTGCAAATCAAAGGTAGGAGAGAAAAAATAATCTCAGGTGCAAGATATTTTGATGAGTAGAAAATTCAGTGTATATCCTTAAATTTTATGAACAATGAACTTAACTTTTGTCAAAAGACAAGAAAAACACTGATCAAGCATGTTACTATGTAGATTTCAATGAACATGATTACATGATTACCAAAGTTGGAAAACTCAGTTCCTGTACCTAATAAAAATTGAATGCTATGTAGCCACTTGATCACGTTGTTCCAATAATTTCAGTGAATAATGGAGATGAAGTTTTGAAAGCTATTTTCCTAGAAACTTTAAAGGCATGGACTTTATCGTCCCACTAGAATAAAACTGATTTACTTGAAAAGATATTTCCCAATAAAATCCAAGTTCTTAAAATGAGATAATTTCCATTGGTTACCTAAAAGCAAAACCAGCAGAATACCTAGCATTAAAAAAAAATGAGAGTGTGCAAAAGAATAATTCTGGCAATATGCTACAAGTTCTTTAAAGAATTGTTTGCTATAAAGTCAAATTTTAAGAATCATTAATTTATTTTGTTGCAATAGCTTTCAAGGGAGCATTGGATTTAAGTCAAGATTGTCACCTGTCAACAAAGTGAATGGTATATACATATATATGTATA